TGCTATTTCAGAGTGACCTTATTATGTACATATGCATTCTCTCAGGCATTTAAATGAATCCATAAAGTTCTGTTTTATAGACAGACTAACATATTTACCATTTCTAATTAAAAAGTATATTTCTGTCTATTAAAGTAGCACTATGGTTAATCTTTTAGGCCATTTTACTTTGTTTTAATTAATTTAAATATATGTAATATATATAGTTGCTGTATCTAAAATTAACTAATGTGAAAAACAACAGAAGATATTGTGAAATCACTCTGCAAAAAGTATTCCAGATTTGCATCTCACCAATAGAATAGGAGAGTACATGAGTTACCACTGCTTTTTTTCCTTTAATTCTGTTCCATAATCAACAGTGGTATCAAAAGCCCAGTTGAATATTTTCCCTCTTTTACTTATGCCATTGAGTAAATGTATGTGTTCCCCATCTCCATGCAAACTATGGCTAGTTATATAATAAAACATCATCAATGAATGGATCAGCTGAAAATTTCAAATCGGTATACGTACTGAGTTTAATTAACCTACCTCTGAATATGTAAAATGTCCCAGCTTATTTTTCACTTATTAGCAAGTACCTTTGGAGTCCAGCAGATGGGCTAGAATAAACAGCAGTTATTCTGACAGTTGGACGGCTTCAGTCTTCTCTCATGTGCACACTTCTTGTACTTCTTCAGTTCCACGAGTGCTGCTCATTCCAGTGCTTATGGCTTCACTCACAATGCCAGTTGTCCAAGACGCTGGAGACACACCATGACCACAGAACTTTCTGGCAAGTCAGAAACTGCAGCAGCCTTGGCTTCATACTTACTGCAGTGTCTGCAATACCAGCACATGGATATAGCAACGGTTAAAGAATAAATCAACATCAACAACCACTGTGGTTCTTTGGCTCACTGTAATTTCTTTGAACATCTTGTTTCTCCTTTTTTGCCACAAAACTTCCTATTAATAATCATGAGTACTTTGAGGATTTCATTCTGTTCTCAGCATTCATAAAAATAGTGATTTTTATAAGAACATGTTTAGTGAGTGAGGTTTGCAGTGACTAAAATCTCAATGTATTGTTAAGGAAATAATTTATATTTTCAAAACCTCATTAATTTATTTAAATGTTATCAACTTGTCATTTTTAATTAAATGCCCAAGTGATATCTGATTAAATTTAAGTAAGATTTAATTTTATGACAATAGGAGGATATGTGGGTTTTCAATAGAAAGAAGGGATTCTAATACTTCAGGAATCAAAATTTTGCTGGACAAGGATTAAAATATTTTATGTTCAAGATTTCTTAAATAAATGTTTGTCAAAATTTACCTTTGGATCAAAATAATGATCAAAGTTACATCACCAAACTTGTATTATCTTAAGCAAATCATGCACCTGAAAAATTAAATTCATTAGGACATCTGATAGTTTTACTAGGGTATCTTATAATTTCTCATGTAAAACCCATTATGGGTTAAAATTTTGCTTTTCTTATTTTTTTTTCAGCAAGTATTCCCAAAGAGAGAATGTAGCTATGTGGTAAAACATTTGAGACAACTGTGTAAAAAACTGCTATTATATAGTATCTTAGGGTAAAATGCTCTGAGGTTTATGGAGTTCTCCTTACATTATTACAAACAGTATTGCTTATGTTTTCTACCAGAGTTGACATGATTTTGGGGCCATCTGTTTATGCAACAATTACTGGGTCACAGACCTCAATCTTGTTATTGTCTTGATTTGATCTATTGTTTCCATTGTATATAAACAAATGTGTGCATGTCCTTGCGTACAAGAAACAATTTTTTTCTCCAAATAGTGTTCGGTTATGGTCTTCAGCTTCTTGTTTTCTCCTGCTTATCTGCCTTGCTTTATATTTTTTGTTTTTAATAACTTTTGCATTTAAATGGACTTGAAAACTGGAATATTTCTATTAATTGATTCCAACAATGCAGAATTCTGGGATAGTCTTTTTCTGACCAACTGATTATCAACTTTATTTCTCGCTTCTGTTATATTAGTTTCAAATAGCGTCAGGGCCATGGGTCAAAGTTTCCAGGACTTATCAGCTGTGAGACTACTGAGGTCACCTGACCTCCTTTCCTTGATTTCTTATCATTATAATTACATCAGCATCATGGCTGAAGTGCTAGCATTAAGAAAAATATCTGCTGTAAAAACATCTCCTAAGACTTCACACAGAATAAACTCTAAGTAAATGCTAGCAAGTCTTTCTATCAAGATAGCGTTTGTTCTCATTTGAATGCAGTGAAGAGATGTTTGGGTTTATTAACATGCTGAATTTAATAACAGTAGTAAAACTTTTTATGCAGGTAGTGAGCTCAAGATGCTTTATCAAGGTTACTATGAATATCCTTCCTTCATGAAAGTTTGGTAATAAAGCCACTTTCATCCTTTGAGTCCATGGAAGTCATCCCAAACAATTAGAAATGCAGCCAGTAGGACATCCCAACTGACACCAATACCATAACCTTTAGCTGTGTAAAGAAATAAATATGAAAGACGAAAAAAAATACCGAATTTTCAAGCAATGTCATTGCCCTATAGGTGTGTGAAAAGGTTTACATGACAAAAATTAGTACATGACCACGTGTGCAAGATCTTCTTTGCCACTTAGGTCCAACCTGAGCCATCATCATTGCCTTCTCAGATTAACTCTCCTTAGATGAAAAACTAATTTTAATTTAGTTGCTGTCACTGAGGCTTCATTAGACAGCTGTTCATTCATTCAAAGATACGTGATAACTGTTAAAAAAACACTATGAGAACCATGGATGGCATTTAAGGTTGAGAATAGAAAAGGTTTGTACATTACATATTCTTAACCACTTAACACGTCAGCAATCTTGGGTTCAAGATCACACAAGAATGACATAAGGGACCAGTGTCCCAGGGTTTTTTAACATCCTTGATTTAAATTATTTTGGTTCCTTTACACATACCTAGAGTTAGACAAATTTTTTCAGTTTTCCATTCACAAGGTTTTGGCATTGCATTGACTGATACAATTCATAAGCGACAAATACCTGGAAGAGGAGAAATAAGTCACTTTTTGCTGGGATAAGAAAGCACTAACCTTGAACGTCTGACTCTCCTTGGGCATTGGGCATGAGAGAGGAGGGGTGTGTTTGTGTGTGTGTATGTGTGTGTGTACGTGTGTGTGTTGGGGGGGCAGATGTTACATATTTTTGGAGAGTGGAGTTGCTGTAGAATGGAGTGGCAGGTACAAAAACCAGCGACTTCAGAGGAACACTGAGCTGGAAATTTTCATGTGAAATGAAATAGAAAACCCGCCGAAGCCTTTTGTAGTATAAATCTTTAAATTCTACGCTGAAGCAATTTGAGTATTTTATAGTAAATAACTGAAGATAGATATGCAGGGGAGTAACACAGAAATGCAAAGAACATGGAAGAAAGATCATCTCCTTGTCAACTGATGAGAACACTGAGGCCCACAGAAGTAAAGCAACTGGCCCAAAGCCCCATTAAACTGCCTCTGTCTTCTATTAGCTTGATTATGTATTCCTAGTCTTTAGATATCTTAGTTGGTATTCTGCTTAGATATTTTTAAGTAACTCAACTATAAACGGGAGGGGGGCAGGCTTACATTTTGAATGGCCCTCAAATAGAAACATAAATTTTTAACTTTCCATTTCCCTGTGAGGCTTTTTGCCAAACTCAGAGACTGATTCCCTGCCATTTCTCTACATTGGCTTCATGCATTTGGAGCACATTATAATAGAAAGAAGCTGCTTTCAGATTGCTGGTGCCAAAACATTTCAGGGGGAAAAAATACATCAAAGATGAGTTGCCACCTCTTCACACAACTGCATCACTGTTGCCTTATTCTCTCATCTCTGTTGCAAGTATTTAAACGGAAAACAAATGTCATCCGGTAAGGATGGTGAGAGACTCACGCACAGCGGAGCACAGGTCTGAGTGTGCAAAGCTGGCGAGCAGCCCTTTCATTCGGTGAGATTATGAGTGGCAGTGGTGACTACCTCCCAAATTACGTGAGATCTCGCTCTTCTAAAATCACACTTTTCTGTAGATGCTTTCTCTGCAGCCTTTTTGTTTGCTTGTTTAAGGCCAGTGTACTAAAATTGCCTTCCAGGTGTATGCCTTTGAAAGACAGAATGAGCAGATTCAGGGGAAAAAGAGTAAAGCGAGAGAAGGTATTGAAGAGTTGAAACACAGAAAGTTAATGTCCTAAGCTATTTTTCTTAATTACTTGTAAGTCTCTCGATGCAACAGAACACAAGCAATTACAATCAGCCAATTCTTAAAAGCCCTGGAATTATCTGACCCTTGCTAATTTCACTGAAATTAATTGCCTGTATCTGCATATCATACAGTTTCTAAAACACTAACCCATTCTGTCCACGGAATGAATGAATGCGCTCATCATCACATTGGTCCCTGGCATAGTACAAATCTCAGCACCAGCTACTCCGCCTCCCCCGCGACCTCAAACAGAGCTGCCGCCTGTATCCTTAGATATTGGGCCATTGAGTAATTATTGCATCCCAGCCACCGAAAGTACCGGCAGGACAGAAAAAGGGTCAGCAGCAGGCAGCGACAGCGGTGTTCAAGAAACTGGCCAGAAACCCGCGGCGCTGCGGGCGCGCGGCGACGTGACCGCCGGGCTGGGGACGCCCCGAGCCTGGGACGGGCAGCGGGCCAGGTGCCAGCCCAGGGGCCCGCCGCTCCCGGGGCTGAAGCCCGGCGCTCGCCGGCGTCGTCAGGCGGAGCCTTCGCCCTCGTTCTCCGCGGAGGAAGACGCGCCGCGCCCGCAGACAACACTCACCCGGGCAGCCTGCCGACGCCTTCGCTCCGCGGGCAGGGGGCTCCGGCGGAGGGCGGGGAGCTGGGGAGGGGCGGAGGGCGGGGTGGGCGGCGCGGCGCGGGGAGGCCGCGGAGCTCCCGACACAGCAGGAGCGCGCCGCGGCCGCGCAGTTTCCGCTTCGCCTTCGCAGCCGCGCACTCGCCGCCTGCCTGCGCGCCGCGGGCGCCGGTGCAGCTCCGGGCCGCGGCGGCCGGCTCCGCGCTCCCTCGCCGGCTTCCGGGAACTCCCGGGATCTTTTACCTGCGCTCGCCTCTCTCCGGGTGCTCTCCGACTCCCTCTCCTTTTATTCCTCGCCACCCTGCTTGCCCCCCCCACCCCTTTTTAAATTGGGGTTTTGGACTTAGGATGACTTGTCTCCCTTGCCCTCGTCCATTTTAGCCCTGAAGACCGAAAAGGACCCTCTCTCAGTGCCACTGGAAAACATCATGACGCTTAAAAAAGTCTAGAGAGGCGGCGGCACGGGACGCGGGACCCCCGCGGACGCCTTGGCCCCGCGTCCGGGACTGCACGGACTGAGAACTGGGATCCCCTCGAAGCCCTGCGCAGGGGGCACGAAGGGAGCCCGACGCAAACTTGAGCCGTCTCGGCGCACCCGTGCGTCCCGCATTTTGGAAGAGCCGCCGCGTGCCGCGTGCGGGAAGGCGGAAGACCCCCGCGGGGCGCGTGGAGGAGCCCCGAGCCTCCTTCGGTTCCTTCGCGACGCAGGAGCCGGTGCCCGGAGCTGCGCGGGACAGGAGGGAAGGAGGCTGGGAGAAGATGCGGGGCTCGGGGCCCCGCGCCGCGAGAAGCCAGCGGGCGCCGGGCGGCGGCGGCGGCGACACCTCCAGCCCCTCTGCGTCCCTGGCCGGCTGCTGCTCCACACCTCGCATGGCTCCCCTCTGGACGTGCCTTCTCCTGTGCGCCGCGCTCCGGACCCTCCTGGCCAGCCCTAGCAACGAAGGTAGGAGACTGGGCGTGGGGACCGCGGCGACCCGGGGCGGAGGGGCGAGGCGGGGCCTGGGAGTGAGGGTCGCGGCGCGCCGGGCGCCGGGAAGGCTGCACCTTACCGCCCGCCGTGCGCGCTCGCCGGCCTTGGCGCTGCCTCTTCGCGGTCCCTGGCTGCATTGTTTGACATTTGCCACGGGGTGCTGGGCGAGCGACCTGCCCGCGGACAGGGGCCGGCCGGGGGCCTGGGAAGTCGGTAGCCAGGCGGAGAGAGAGTGGGGTCTGGGACCCTCGCCGGGAGGTTGGGTGCGGCTGGGTCTCCCGGAGGGCGCCAGGGGAAGTGGCGTTTCTGGCTGCAAGGAATGGGAACTGTTGGGAGCTCAGAGACAGGGACCCCGGGAGCTGTGGGGCGTTTAGAAACCGTTATGAGAGGCTCGGGATGGGAAACGTGGTGGGTGAGGTTGGCTGGATGCTCCGCGAGCCGTTATGTAGGGCATCGCCAGCTGCTCTTCCAGGGTGCGTGGCAAGTGCTGTGATTCCTCGAGGGTGGAGGGTGGCGAAGGGAGAAGTAGCCCCGCACTGCCGGTGGTCTTCTCTTCGGAGGGCTCCTTGGCACTCTCACGGCGCGAAAGTGGGGCGCCGCGGGAGGACCAGCGCAGGGCCTGGGGTGTCGCTGCTGGGAAGTTGCAGCTGGAATCCACCCGGGCTTGTCTCCGGGACGGGAAGAGACCCGCTCCGTCCGCCCCGCGCAGCTCTCTCTCTCCTAGCCCAAGCCTGTGTTCGGGACCCCCAAGGTTGTCCCCTCCGCGCTGGGGGAGAGTAGGACCCGGCGCGAGCGCCAACACCTGTGTCGCGCCCCAGGCTCCCAGAGTGGTGCTCGGTGCTCGGTCCCCGTCCGCCCGCAGCCGTGCGCCCCAGGCCCCCAGAGCGGTGCTCGGTCCTCGGCCCCCGTCCGCCAGCAGCCGCGCGCCCCAGGCAAACCAGAGCGGTGCTCGGTCCTCGGCCCCCATCCGCCCGCAGCCATGCGCCCCAGGCAAACCATAGCAGTGCTCCGTCCTCGGCCCCTGTCCCCGCAGCCGTGCTCCCCAGGCTTCCAGAGCGGTGCTCGGTCCTTGGTCCCCATCCGGCTGCAGCCGCGCGCCCCAGGCAAACCAGAGCAGTGCTCGGTCCTCGGCCCCCGTCCGCCCGCAGCCGTACTCCCCAGGCTTCCAGAGCGGTGCTCGGTCCTTGGTCCCCATCCGGCTGCAGCCGCGCGCCCCAGGCTCCCAGAGCAGTGCTCGGTCCTCGGCCCCTGTCCCCGCAGCCGTGCGCCTCAGGCTCACACCCCGCCTGCGTGCGGGTCTCGCTGAGCTCCGGGGCTCCTTCCTCGTGGCGGGAGGGTGCGGGGCGGCACCCCGTCTCAGACCGCGGTTGGCGCTGCTGGGAGCGGTCAGCTGCGCCCCCCCCACCCCCGACAACTCTGAACACCCTATCCCCGGGGCTAGAAGGCTGGGGTTTGGGCCTGGGTCGGTGCATGCGAAGCGGGAGGTGCGGAACCTTTCTGAAGACATTCCTGGTACTCCTTTGGGGCAGGGGCCGTGGGCCCGGAAAGGTGGAGCAGCGGTGGCCCAGTGGTGGGTGCCCTCGGGACTGGCAAGGGGACGGCATGGCGCAGGGACTCGGAGCACCCAGCGGGAGGGTCAGGCTCCCCACTCCCGTCCCCAAGGCGGTCACATTCTCGCTTGAGAATCTCCCCCCTCCCCAGCGCGCGCGCGCTCACACACACACACACACACACACACACACACACACAGGTTTTCTTTAAAATGCGTCTCTCGTTCAAATGCCCTGCCTATTGATGTCATCTCCCGGGTTCAAGGTGTTTTCCCTTCCCGGAAAAGTTGTGCAAGTGTTTTCTGAAGCCGCAGAGCGTTTGTGACGTCGCGGAGAAATCCCCAGGATTGCTACAGGGCCAGGGGTCTTTTTGTTGCAAGGGGCGCCCAGGCGTGGGTGCAGGCGGCTCACTCACCTGGCCTGCAGGCTTTCTCCAGGTGGGTGGGCAGGTAGGTAGGAGTGAGGGGGAGTCTCTCCGGGCTGAAGTGCGTTCTCTCTGGGCGGGTTGGGCAGAACCTAGCCTGGGCGGTGAGGGGAGGGAAAGGGGCCGAGGAGATGGAAGCCAGCTGCGGGTGAGCAGCAGCCCCGGACTGCTAAGGTGTTGCAAGGTTTTTGGCACCTGTAGGCTGATGCCTGCCTCTCCCTCAGCGGGTGGAACAGGCAGCAGAGCTGGGGCGACAGGAAGCTGGGGGTTCAGGGTGGTGGAACCAGAACGGAGGGGTCTGGACACCAAGGCATGCGTGATGTCCCGGCGCATTCGGTGACAGGTCACTATGTACTTAGTTGGAAATAAAGTCTTTATTAATACTTGTGGTTCTCATCTCTGCCCAGCAGTTTAACATCCTTACGTCAGTGTCACTTTTTTTTTATTTCTGTTCTGTGGAATCTACATTCGTTCTGTTTCTCAATACTAGTGTCACTTTACACCGAGTAGCAAAATATATTAAAATATAAGAAGACTGTTTTTTTTTTTTTAATTTGTCTCAGGATGAGTTTTTCAGTTTTTGTTTGTTCCTGCAGGAACTTTGAAAGGTCAGGGACAGATTTAAGTGTACACTGAATTCATGAATAGCTTGAGCTCATATATTGTTCTTTCTGTAGTCTCTAGGTAGGTAGTGGTTTTCCAAACCGTTGTGAGTATATGCATTTATATGTAGGAATAATATGTGGGCTCATTTTGTGGGAAAAGTTTTTTTTTTATGAAGATAGAAATAAATGTAAACTTACATATGTAATATAACTCATTTCTAAATTTATCTTTGATTATCATAAACAGAATTGAACAGAAGATAAACATATCTAGAATCTTGAAATAATGTTGAAATTTATTTAAAATATTAGAAAGTGTTGAATAGCAACAAGAATAAAACTTTTTATCCAGAATTTTAATAAATGTATAAGTACATTCTTAGTTGTGTTAAGTTGGGCATAAACACTTCCATGCAAAAGAAACCTTTAATCTATGATACATAGACTACACATTAGTGTGAGTAATTCAGAAAGATTTTTAGCAAGAGACTTGGCCCAGATTGATCACAAAGGACACATATTATTAGGAAGTGTATCAACAAGTGAAAATTTTAATAGCTCTAATAAGGGGGCATGTCCAGGGCTGTGAATTTTGGAGGTGGCCCGGAACTTATTCCATAACTGCCACTTTTTGCTGTCTGGAGATATATTTGTAAACAAGCATTATTTGACAAGTGCTTTTCGCAGCAGGGACTCTTGGCCAATTACTGCTGAACAGCTCTGCATTGAAAATGATTCACCCGCAGTGAATCCAGCTTGAGTCACTGAAGCTGCAGTCAGTAACGTCCCAGCAGACAGCTTCTGAGGGTGGTCAGCAGTTTGCATTGGAAAAGTCCAGGTTCTGTCCCCCAACATGCTGCAGCGTTCAGAAGGTGGTACAGAAAGGTTCTGAGAAAAGAAACACAGCCATCATAAAATGGTACACATCTTCACTGGAAAGGTAGAAAAGAAAAAGAAGTTTGGGTTAGGGTCTTCCCTGTTTTATAATAGAACTGGGCCCATAAAACAGATTGGCGGACATAATAGATTTGTAAAACTAAATGGCTTCATTTTGTGGCCTTGTCATTCTGTTGTAATTCATTTCCTTTCAGTTAAGTCCATGGACTCCACAGAAAAGGGACAGTAAAATCATTCCCTCACTGGGACATTACTAACAAGAAAAGAGAGCCATTACCCCCTTTTGAATCTTAGATTGTTGGCACCAGACGAGACCATGCAGTTTTGGCTTTTTGCTTAATAAACCATGACTGGGACGGGGCGGAGGTGGGACGGGGTGGGGTGCTGGCGCTTGATGTATTAAGCTGTTGTTTGAGATAGAGATCTTTTCTGGGTGTCAGGGTTTCAGGTAAGGTGGTTTTAGTTCCTCATGTAACACAGGTGGTGGGCAAATCCTGTATTTACACACTGGCGATTTCTCCTTGATTGAGAATGTTCTTGCAATGTTTTCACCTAAAAATCCTGTTAAGTCTTTATTCCAAACCACAAGGGATAGAGTTGCCCAGGGAGGGAGGAAGATTCACATTTTATACTTAGAAATGCATTATTTACCATTATTTATATATTCCTGTGCTCTATAGAAGGTGACCATTTAGAGCACGTGGCTTTTGTTTCTTTACATAAAAATTTTGTTTCTTTACACCGTGACACACAGAACTTTCTGGAGACACAGGTCTTCCCAAACTGCTTAATTAAATACTGTATTTATATTGCCACTGTTGAGGAAATGACTCCGCTTGTGTTGATTGAATCTACCTCTTGAATCTCCTTTGTTTGGAGTGTTTTTGACTGTATTTGCTTGAATGACTACTTAATTTTGCTTTCATTTGGAAGAAACCTTTCTAGGTTTCATTGTAAAAACAAAGTCTAATGTTTGCTATTATATTAACTGTAGCTGTTTTTACTTTTGTGCTTTGAATTCACAGTACTTTTGAAAAGAAAAATACACTGTATTGTGAAGAAATGACTACTGTAAAGAGAATTGATAATTCTTTTATACATTGTTTTTTGATTTAAATGAGCAGGTGTAGTCCATTGTACAAGTGAATTATTTTAAGTTAGCGGAGGTATCTAATTATTTGGAGAGAGTTACGGCATTTCAACAATATTAAATTAGCTTTATAGTGGTTTTCATGAAACATCAAGCTGTGCGTGCTAACCATTGAAAATTTATTGCAGTATTTATTTGCCTTTTTGTTCTGAGAGTAAATCGTGATTATAAAAGCAATATGAGAGCTAAAATGTAAATTGTTATCTTAGAGACGCAGGGTGATTCTTGCTGTTATATCTCTGGTGAGTATATCTCAGTAGGAGCAGAATAGCTCCTTTGATATGCTGCACTGGGTAAATACAAATCTAGATATTTTATCAAAATATATATAATCAATAGGATAAGTG